AGTAACAAGTGCCTTACTAGTAGTAACAAGAAGCTATTAGTAACAAGAAGCTACTAGGAACGACATCTTCAGTCCTCAAGAGCCGTATGGCATGGCTCATTTTCTGCATCGGTGGTCTCACCTCAGGTTTCGCACATTTTCAAAGGCAGACAAGTTCTTTGCTTTCTTCTTCGTCTTTGACGTGCTCCTTCGCGTTTGTGCTCCTGGGTTGTCAAACGTTGTGAACACGTCAAAAAGATGACACGAACTCCTGTTTTTTTTTTAAAAGGAGATTGAGATTCCGGGAACGCTTTGTTCAGCCAAGCTGGGTTTGTGCATACACCTGTCCGAAAACGGCTCACAAGCTTCAGTCACCTGGTGGCTCAATAGCGAAGAACAACTTGTGGGGTGGAAGAGAAGAAGGTGTGTTCTCTCCAAACATTCATATGTGTTGAGGTGTGCATATAATCCTATTTGTGTTGACTTGACAAGTGTTCTGCATTAGCATGGTTTGGCACATGTATTTTCTAACATGTCTTCGTCATTGTTTGTCTATGTGTTGTCAAAAGCTTTGTGTGCAGCTTCTGTTGCCTCATGTGTTGAAACCCTTCCCTACCTCCTTAACAACTTGGACACAGGTTTCTCCATCGATCGGGCCAAAGGCTGTAGAGAGTCAAGGACATTTCACCAAAAAAATGCAGAGCAGATGGATTTGGATCAAGGTCTCAAGAGAGAGTGGCCCATTCACCCGGTGTTTGGACTCCGTCTTCCCACCCCGGCCCCATGCGACCGCTGGAGGTTCTTCAGTGCCGTTTCTTCCACGTGTGCTTGAACTATGTGGACATCCTGGTGTCCCTGACCTCCCTGGCCGAGGTCGGACACATATGTTTTTTGCGATGCAGCCAGACGATCTAGACGAGTATAGAGGAGGGTGACGGGCCCAGGATGTCGGGGAACGACAGCAAGGGAAGAGAGATTTGACGACCAAACTCAATAAAGACCACCTTGAAATCTGAAGAACCTCAGGTCGTGCTGACTTGGGAGACTGAGGGTGATGTGGCTTGGAAGCAGCAACTGTGGGCAACTGCTTGGCTTGGTGGCTCAGAAACTAGCAGTCTAGCATTCCATTGTAGGAAAGAGACATCCCCCCTGAAACCAACTATATAAGCTATTAGGTTGGCCTCCCCATCGCTATGATCAGCATATCTTGTGCCTCCGGAAGCGAAGCATTTAGTTGGGGCTTCCAATCTATACCAAGCTTTGGTTTGTGCCTCCAGCTATGTGAGCTTTCGAGCTTTCGGGGCTGCAAGATGCCCTGATATCAGCTTTTCCATGAGTGGCTTCTTGAAAACAGGATTTCATGTTCACTCGACTACAATGGTCGATTCACTGCAAGACAAGGACCTCAGTTTACACTGTTTGGGTGTGTTGCATGTTCTTCCTCTTTAGTTAGTGGATGTTAGTGGGTTGTTGAGTCAGGTGTTGTCCTGTCACATGGTCTGGAAAACACAAAAACAATATCCTTCCCACTAGACAAGCAAACCACCCGATTGACCACCCTCACTTACTTGGAGCCAAGGGCCCATGTGATTGAGGTGGATAGCAGTCAACTTGGGTACAGCCTGCCAGGCAATTGAAATCATCCTCTCTTTGATCTTGCAAAGTGCATGACTACGACCTGCCACGGTCTCCATGGTGTCTCCTGCTTGAATCTGACTTGGTGTCACCGATCCCAAGGAGCTCAGCGGCACCAGTGGAAGCATGCCGGTGAACCCGTTGATTTTCAAGCTCTTGCGCTTAGGGAAGCTGGCAAGGGCTATCCGGATGATCACCATGAGCCGCCCGGAGGGAGACACCACAAAACAGAAGGGTGCGAAACTGACCGACCGCGGTTTTGCCGCCTATTGCTGTGCAAAGATGGGTTTACCTCAACATCAGATATGTTATGATATGTTCACTTTGAGAATTAGATCATGATAGACAAAGCTCCTAAGCGATTCACCAGGTTTACCGTGCCGAAAGAGGGTTCTTGACAAAGCTAATGAAGACTCATTAATGCACAGGATCTAGAGGCTATTACTCAGTACACGCACACATTAGTGGAGTGGACCGTAACAGGACCTTTTTGGTCTATGACGGGTACTCTCCTTCCAGTGGTAGCTCATGCATGTCCTGCTGGTTTTGCCTTTGCCACTGCTGTGTGGAAGTTTTTCCAACAAATGTCTTGGAGCCATCCAGATCTACCTCCAAACAAGGATTATTTTGGGGTCACTTGGTGTGAATTAGCGCTACAATTCACAGTTTTTGCAGGAAAATGCCTACCGGTTTGGATTCACGATAATGAAAAAGGATACGCGGTGCCTTATGACTTTTTCTCCGGTGAGGTCGCCTTGCAGAAACCGGAATTTCGCGGCTTAGGCCACCAAACATCAGCCTTTCGAGCAGTTGTCCGATATCTCGAAAACACCACGGGACACAAACTTTTCCCGCGATATAAAAAATCCGGAGCTAGCTCCTTAATTCGTTTGGGATTCCATAGGAGCTTAACTGGAGGAATTACAGCTCGACCCAACCTTCCCCAACATGAAATTGCGTATATAGTGCTTGCGGACTATGCATCCACGCCGGGACAAACATACCCGCTTAACGTACGTGTACCATTTCAGCCTCGGCTGGACTCAGCTCTCATTTCTTGTGATACTTCCGAAAACCTACCATTCGAAAGAGACATAACCTCTACCAGAGAGTTAAGCAGCAAATTCGACTTAAAAAAGACCTTTCAATGCTCCAATGGGATGCTTAAATTGAATGCATATTCGTGCCGTGTAATTCATGTGTGAATATGACTGCGTCTTCTACCAGTCTGTTTGTCACACTGTATACTGCATGTTTTGTACAGGATCTATGCGTGCATATCTACCCTAGAGTACCCCACTGAGTGGAAGGGCTGGTAGGGGCGTGACAGGACGAGTCCGCAAGTTGGTGTGATGGAGGGTGTTTCATTTTTTGGTTTGTTCGAATACACATCCTTGTTCGAAGAAATAGCTGAAGTGCCGTGTGAGATTTGCTCGTCTAGATCACGTGTGTGCCATGGCTGGGGTGCCATGACCCACACTCATGTGCATGCAGACACCCATGGATGCGACATGGGTGTTTGCTGAGTATGGCAACTCTTTAGTGGTTAGAACAATTGTCTAGTCCATTCATGTCCATTCCTCATTATTAGCTGGGCTTTGAACATCATGCCCCATTACAGAGTAAGGGCAGGATGCAAAGGATGCATGTTGTTCGAGCTCAAGTCTTTGACCCGAGCCAATCCAAGGCAGCATGCTTTTGTCCTTGCAGAAGCTTGGAATTGATGAGCGTACGTAGTTTGGGAAGAGAGATCAAGTATTTTGGGTGACTTTAACATATACTTTAACAGTCAACATAAGCATGTGGGTCCAACTAACAATCAGGTAGGGAATTCACATGAATCCACTGTTTCCTGGATGGGTGTGCGACGGGCCAATCATGGCTTTCGGCTTTGCCTGAAAGTCGGCCTTCGAGAACTGAGGCTTAGCCAATGTAGGATAGCATAGGAAAGCCTCTCTTAGCAATTACTTGACGAGCAACTGATGACAGCAACAGACAAGAAACTGGAACTGCAGTTGTGTACCAGATGGACAAGACCTCACCTCACCCACCATCACCTTTTCCTCGTTCCCGAACACAACGGGGATATCTTCGATCCCCAATGACACTCCAAACATGCTCAGCATGAGAACAATCCCTAGGGATCCAAGTACCTTCTCAGAAGGTGATTAGAGACACTGTTATGTAGGTTTGGAGGGTCCAAGTACCTTCTGAGAAGGTACTTGGATCCCTAGGGAATATATGTGGGTGTGTATTGTATCATATTTCGGGAGACCTCCCACGTCTCGACCCCTCTGGAAGGTTCGGAACACCCAGGGCCAGGGAGGTTCCCGTATTTGACCCGTTTGGGCTGGCCTACCTCCTGAGGTTCGGTGGTTGGGGTGTTTGGAAGGGTTAACCACCTTCTGAGGAGGTCCCACATGAACATCGATGTAGGATGATGTAGAGGCCATCGCTCTTTGGGTTGGAGGCCATCGCGTTCGTCGTCTTCAGTTTGGGGAACAACGACGAGTCACCTCGCCGGGACGAAGCAGATGGGCGAAGGAAGCCATGTGGGGATGGGTCGTGACCCACCAGTCCATGTAGCTTGACATAGCTTGACCTTCCAGTTAGGACAACGAAGGTATTCTGGTTTTGACCGCCATGTCGCGAACTTTCCCAGCTAAGGCTTTTGATCAAATGTTTAACTGCCAGTCGTGGCATGCTTCTCTGGAGTTTCTGCTTGCTGAGCTTGGTTCAATGTGTGGCTGGCATGACTTTAAGCACCTTGTGCCAAGACTATATCGAAGACCCTTGCCTCAAAGAAAAACGTGGACACACACACACACACCGATAACCAGTCGGAGGGGCAAGGAGTTCTTCGAGGAGGTCTGTCAAGTCCATGAGACATCATGAGAACCATGTCTTAGAACTTCCACTCGGGGTTGAATGGACTGTCTTCGGGAATGAACTTGTTTTGGAGGTCGAATGGACATGTTTTTTGGGTTCTATGCATGTCCTGTATTCTGGGCACTTCCATTTGCCGAAGCTCGTGTGCTCTCATGAACTAAATGTATTTATATATGGGTCAGAACTCCCATCTACTGCACAGCAGGCCCTTTGCTTGGGCCCTTTGATTGTTGAAGTCTTTCCACCTGGTACTTTGATTGTTGATGCAAGTGTGCACTACTCTTTCTGCTGGTATTCCAAGCGGGGGTGGCCATCGAGTCATCCGTTTTTGCTGTTATCACGTTGATGGCTCAGCAAGCTATTGATGTTTGTTGAGGTTTGGTCGGTGGTTTGAATTTCCTAAACCTTCCGAACCGGTTTAGTTTACGTCCCATGCTGTGTGGGCAAAGAGAGTTTCATACGCCGCAACCGCAATATTGCCCAGTTTGGTGAATGGCCCAAACCAGCCGTGACTGTAAATGGTTGCCGACCCAGGATCTGAGTCAATTCATCCAAGGAGTCATGAGGCAAGCACAAACTCTGCAGATTTGGACCAAATCCCGGAATCAAATGGAATCGAGGAACTTCTCTTCCCCAATCATGCCTGTACGCTGCGTCGAGGCCGCTCTGTGCCACCGTCCCGTCCGAAGCACACGCCGAATCGAATCACTTGCCCATGTGGACCGGTGCACACGTCCGATGGCGCGACGGATGGCGGACATGAGGATCCCCTGGGGCCTTTCGAGATCAGGGAGGAGGTCTTTCGTTACTATGGTTCCTTGGTCAGCCTGATGCGGCCAGCCCATTTCGCCACGGCTTCGATCTTCGGGTGGAACGTCCGCGACCTAGACCCTCATGTTACGGGGTGGTCCAAAAGTGTTTAGGCCGAATGAATTACTCTTGCCAGGAGCACTCCAATAAACAGCTTTGCTCCAAGCCCCGCGGTGCAGCGGATCTAAGTGACTTGGGACCACATATGTCGTCACGCTTGGGGATGAACTGTCCCAGGTACGTGGACTCGGACCATGCTTTCAATGTGCCGTGGCCGACGAGTCGGTAGAGATGGGTGGCAGGGAAGCATGAAAACTTTTGGCCAGTTCCAAAGGAGTGCGGGTAGTGTCAATGATCCAGCTGGATGGGACTGAAACACCATTCCAACATGGAACTGCTGTGGGTCATAGATTGTTCATGATTTGTTCAGATTCGTTACTTTCATGCCTACTGCTTGCGCATTCACAAAGCCCTCTTTCTGGTAGACCTGAAGAGTTGTGGTTGGGAGAAGCAAGCTTTCCGATTTACTTTGCTATTAGGCTTCATGAGGAGACATCCCAAATGCTAAATCTCTTCATGAGGAGATCCCAAAGATTAAATCTCCGAAGTTAATTCGGGTTTGAAAGAACAAGCGAACATAGAATTGACAATATAGGACCATAGGACGAGGGACAGGTGAAATTTCAAGAGGCGAAGAGAGGCAGTTGGCATTGGAGGAACATTTGGCCGAAGAAGGTGGGATAAACTCATTGGAGAGGTCTCTCAGCAGCGCGGACCCTCCGCAGCTCGAAGCAATGTGAAGAAATGTTGGAACTTCATCACTCTGGCAGTAACGGCAGCTCGGCAGGGGCCCCTGCCTCATCCTGCTCAGGACGGCAGGGCTGACAGTGGCAGTGGCCATGACATGGAATCGCTCCTGATCAAACTGATGATGAGCTTTCTTGCAAAGAGCCCCAGAACATGGTTGACCAAGCCCTGCTTCTCGACGGCCATTGCGGATGAAAGTGAGGTAATTAGTACATACGGAACGACTCACGCAAAGCATGGGGGACTTGGAATTCAGGCTGGGAGTGCGGGACCGAGTGCAATCAGAGGTTTAAGAGCCCGTTCCCACGGCTGAGTGTTCACCCAACTAGAGTCGCTCAATACACTAGGCCTTCCCTGGCGAGACCAAGGCCATAGAACTTCCGAGCCTACGCGCCAAGCAGTGACGAAGCATCCAGAAGCGGATTGACAGGCTTCCTCTCCGGGACAGGCTCGCAGGTGCGGCCGAGCGGCCTCGCATCCACCACTTCTTGCCAAGCTCCAAGTGATTCGACCAGTGAAGGCGGAGCGGACGTGACACGGTCGGCCGTTTGCAAGCAACATGTTCCTTCCCTGCACAGTGATCGCTTCGCTTCGAAGTCGAAGCGTGGAGCAGGGGGAAATTGAGGGTATTTGTTCATGTTCCATGGCTCTTGGTTTAGAGAAGGGCGAAGATCTTGACAAGCTGAAGTCTAGCCTTGCCACCCGAATTAACTGTCACGGTTCGTCATGATTTGTTTGTGCATCGCAAAAAGCATAGCAAGGAATTTACCTTGAATGATTCTCTCCCCGCTGACTGGGACTTCTGGTTGATTGCATCTCTCAAAGACGGTAGATGGATTGACGGGTTGTCCTTGTTGGCTGCTGCAAAACGATGTGGTGTCTGTATCACTGTGGTGCCTTCTTCTGGCACGGGAGGTGATGTTACCACGCGTTTAACTCCTGTTCCCTGTTCCAAAAGGTTGCAGTGCTCCGTATGACCTGGGGTACTGTGAGCCCTGCGGCCTTTGCAGTGATGTGTCACGAGAGTGTCCTGCACACTTGTCCCTGGTGCGAGGAACGGTTACATTGAATGCGGCAGACAGCACATCTCGTATGACGAGTCTTGGTGCGTTAAGGCTCGAAGGTTATGCACTTCAAGGATGAGGTTCACGGTGCTGATGACTGGGGGAACCCTCAGCTCGGCAGGAGGAGGTTCCTACCACCTGCCCATGGTGTCAAGCTGGCTGTGTTCCTGACTTTAACCACGTGGCGTGGGAGTGTCGTGCTTTGCAGCTCTTGAGGATTCAGCACAGGGTGTCAGAGATTAGGGTTCTTTGCCCGCTTCAGCGCAGGCTGGGTTGATCTTGGCCTGTGCATGCAGGCCATGACGAGGATGTGCTTCAGTGGCTTGTGACCGTGCGTCAACGCTTTCTGGATCAGCGTTTCTCTCGCTGAGTCACCCGATCTGCTCGGGAAGGGTAGCGCTAAGGCGCAGGGGGCGTGCTGCGAGCAGGCCGTCTTCTACTCGTGAAAACCGCCGCAAAGCTTCCTCATTGGTGACCGCGATATTGATCCGGAACAGATTACCAGCCATCCCAAGCTGCTCGGCCACGAGCTTAGCGGTACCCAGCGGCGGGCTTGCAGAAAAGGAGCGCCTTGTGAGTTCAATTGCACTCCTTAAGAAGGCCACCTTCCTCCCCATCACCTGGCAGCATAAGCGGCGTGTTATCTCCTCTGGTCCTTTGTCCAAAGTTTGTTGGGGGTGGGGTTTCAAGCTGCCCAATAAGCGTGAACTGCAGAAAGTGCGAACCCCCATGCGGACCCAAGTGGCTCCGACATCTGTTGTGTGGACATCAGTTGCATGTTTTCTCACGTATCACCCTCGGAAACTTCCGTGGCGACAAGCCAACAAAAGACCTGATCGATCCCCTGGTCAGTGGACCCTCAAAGGTTTCCGGTTTTCCTGGCATTGTCAACAGGTGTGTCAAGGAGTGGTGGTGGTCCCTGGATGGTCTGGAAATGGTCTCACCCTCAGGTCCCCTCCATTTCGTTGTGCAGTCCGCAGATGCCCGCGCTTGAAGTGTCACTTCATCGCATTCGCGAAAGTACTCGGCGCTTCTTTTGGTCCAAGCACCATAATGCTGGACGTCGTGACTCTGACCCGCTTGAGGTTTACAAGCCCGATTCTTCCAAGTGGGCTCGAAAGCCGGCGGTGCAACGTCCGTTCTCCGCCATTTTGTGTGGCTCTTCGGTGAGTCCAGCATGTCTCCAAAGGATGAAGAAGGAAGGTGTTCCTCAGAGTTGCCTTACTGTCATGATAAGTGTGTTCCTACCTGGATTCATCTGGCATGGCACTGCAAGCACTGGGATGATCTCCGGTCCCAGATTCCTGGAACCGGCTTCTCGGTTCCCACACGTGTTTTTGGCCAACGAACCGGTTGGCCTGTACAACTTTGCACTAGAGATGAACGTGTCTTGGCTTGGCTTTGTATAAGCTAAGGAAGGAGTTGCTCGATGAGCGAGTTGCTGCGCGCCGCTCGCATGACACTGCCGCTTAGCGTAGCCTTTGGCCTGCGCGGTGGGGCTAGCTGCTGATAAGCTGCCGCCGCCTTCAACTCTCTCTCTCTCTCTCACTCCCAGGTTCAGTCGGCAGTTATCAGGAGCCTTCAAGAACCAGTGACTGGATCTAAATGGTTGAGACACTTACTTAGAGGTCATCAACTTCACATGTTCCTTCGCATTACACTTGGTCACTTCGGTGCGGCTTGGAGACAGACTCAGAAACGTACATTGGTGAATGCGGTTGCTTGGACTACCAAAGGTTTCCCGGGGTCTTAAAAAAAGTGTTTGCGTCACTTCGGTTGGTCTTCTGATGGCCCATGGCGTTGGAAACATCCTGACTTGCCTACCTTGAATCTTCACAGACCCCTTCCCAAGTTGGATTGGTGTCTCCATAACATCCGAGAGAGCGCTCGTCGACTCTTTTGGAATCGGCATCATGACCGGGCTCGTCGTGATTCTTTTCGCGGGCAGAGCTACAACGCCGATGCTTGTAGTTGGGCACGTCGCTGTGCTGATCAACGTTGTTATTTTGCAATCTTATCGGGGGCTGCAGTTAGCCCAGCTTGCCTTGCTAGCATGAAAAACACGGAAGGGTTGATGAATTCTGCCCCAAGTGTTCCCGTGCGGTGGCCCCCACTTGGTTGCACCTTGCTTGGGAGTGCCCTGGCTTACAAAGTGAGCGTGAATGCTACATTCGCGATCCTTGCACACATCCTGAGGATTTGTTCCACAAAAGGACAGGTTGGTCTCGGCAGCCCTGTGTGGGCGACTCACACGTGCAGGTACTTGGCTGGCTTAGCCATCTAAGGCGTCTGCTGCTGCGCGAGCGCTATGATCGAAGCTAAAAGCGGCGCTCCGGTGCTGCGGTGAGGGCGGCTGCTGAGAAGCCGTCTTCAACCTGAATTTTCCGAAACTCCCCGAGGTTTGAAATTTTATTTGCGAACTGGGGCCCTCCATGTCGCATCTTGGTGGACCATGTGCCTCGGTTCGTGTGGGACAGTGGATGTGGGAAAGATCGGGTGGACCGTGCAATGTCATCAATCAGCGTGCTTCAGTTCTTAGTTATAAGAAAGCTGCCCTTACAGTCATGTCCAAATCGCGCTCGGGTTGGATCAAGGGTTGGTGTCAGGATTTTGTTCACAAGTGCTCTTCCAGATTGTAGGACCTGGGAACTTCGCCGAGTACGGGCAAACACATTTGCGTGCTGAAAAAGCCGCAAATCTCACGGCTCCACGAAGTTCTACGTGCTAAGAAAACGGTCAACATTCCCAGGTTTCACGGGTTGCTCGCCTTTTCACATGAATTCGGCAGCATGCGCAGCGACATGTTCACACGGTTGCTCACGCACATCGAGGGCGTTTTGGAGGTTCAGTTTTTGGTCCTCCAAGGTTTCCTTTAGGATTTTAGGATGTTCACATTTGTTGTTGATGCATGTTCGCACATGCCCCTAACCTATAGCGCGGCCAACAGATTTCATGGATGTTTTTCATTGAAGTCCAGGCCACACACACCAAAAAGACATGGCCCATGTCATGCTAAGAGTGCACCGTTTAGGACCATTTTTGACCATCAGGGTGTAGAATTCAGTCATTGATATCCAAAATGAACGCAATGCGTATCAGTATCAATGCAGAATAATAGTGTATAATGTTTTTTTTTCAAGGTGGGGTTGCTCAAGAACACCCGTCAGACGTCGCGGCCTTGCCAATGTATATTATTTAGCCGTGACTCTTTCCCGAGTGGAAATCCGTTTGCTGACTGAGGTGCATGAAGCCTTCTCAATTTTTTTCTTGGTGTACCGATGTGTCCTTGGATTTGCGGTGCCTTTGCCTCCTGGTTCTTTCCTGGGCGTTTGTTGGGGGAGTTCGGGTTTGGCCGGCCAACTTGCATTCATAACGCATCCCAACTTGCATACATCCCTGGGATACCTGCAACACATCCCAAATATTGTCTTTGGGGTTGTGTTGAGTGCAGTTCCTAACACTGTCGAACGGTTTGCCAAACAGTGATGGGAATGTTTGGACTGAAGATTGTTTTATAATTTTTGGAAGAGGGTTGATATTGTTCAGGTCTTGATTCACAAGGGGCCTCCTTCTTTTGATTTGAAGTAAGGATGCCGCAGGTCCGCAAGTGTTGTGTATTGCTATGGTTGATCAATTCGGTTTGACAGCGGTTCCCATTTTCGGCGGTGCGTTGTCGGTCACGTGAAACGATCTCACTGGTGACCTCGCTGGTGAATTGGCTCCATTTTCAGGTTCATGAAGTAATCAGAATCAATCAACACCTAGTGACCTAGTTGATGACAGAAGGACACCTTGGTGCACAGCAATTGCATAACACAGTTGTAACTTCCAGGAAGGTCCATGAAGTCTTCCAGTGGTGGCACTGAGCAAGATTTGAGCAAGCGCAGCAAGACATGCTTGCAATCGCGGTGGCACTTGAGGTGCTCAATGTGGTGAAGCTTGACGGAAGACGTTGGGCGCAACCATCACCATTACACAGAAGAAAAGCAAAGAAACCGGGGCGAAACACACAGAGCTTCCTGTCAAAAATAAATGCCTTCCAACTGGTTTGCGGGGTGCATTGCCTCCGCAACTATCAATAGCTTTGGTATTTGTATGTATTTTTTGAGAAGGGGTTCAGGGACTGACACGGAAAACATCTGAGGAGTGCTTTGCTTCGACCATGCGAATGTATAAAACTCTCCCTCGATGGCATTTTTTGAGGGATGGCATTCAACCTTTGCTTGGTTGCGTCATGGAAGGGCTCGGCACATAGTAGACCCTCACCTGAATCCTTATCCATCCTAGTTTGCAGTAGTGACCAGTCCAAAGCAATTTTGTGCGCAGTTCCCAGGGGCTTTGACTCAATTGTTTTTAGCATGCTTATCGGAGTTGGAGTGAGTTTTGGTTGTGTTTCCCAGTATAAACTTCTTTGTGAAAATTCTGGGCTGGGCTGATGTTTTGTGAATTGACCCATCCAGTAGTGGGATGGTTAAAGGGTTGATATTGATAGTGATTCTTGAATCTCATGATACGAATCGTGTCCAATCTGTTTTACTTAAGATTTGAAAAATAAGTGTATATAAATTAATTATGTTCACGTATCCCTTCCCTAGGATCCACATTTCGCTGATGTGTTTGGGGATGTAAGCTCACTGAGCGATTAGAGGGTCTCTCTCTCTCTCTCTCTTCTCAGCAGGGCTTTTAACCCTTTCATTTCTTCTGTGGTCCATTGGTCCATTCAATTTCCGGCCTTCCATTTGTTGGGTCGAACAGAACGAGAAGAGGGGGCCACACAGCAGAGGGGGCCTCATTGCAGCCTCGCCCCAAGAAGCATCGCTCCGCCGGGCACGTCCCACAGCACCGCTCCGCGGAGGAACGCGGTCTTCGTCCAACAGACCCTCCGCACCGCCAATTCGGACGAGGAACACCGCGTGTGCGTGCGGGAGGTTGACATGTTCCTGATTTGGTGCGTGCGGGAGGTCGGTGTGTCCAGGTTTGGAAAAAGGATGAAGACGTCATGTTCCTATATGTTCCTTATTCTTAATATTTCATATATTTCTCAATCATAGATACCTTAGAATAAATAAGATCTACTCATCTACCTGGTGACATATGTACTGTACACCACAGAGTCATATTCAGATGGATGTACAGAATTTGAACATGTTTTTTCCTTGCGGCATCTCCAGCTAAGTGGCACGGAAACCGGAATACACGCACAGATGTGATGTTGTGGATGTCGGATTAGACCAAACACCATACATGGACGCTTGTATGTCTTTCAATGTCTTTCATGAGTGGCTCCTTATAGAAACCTACCTGGTCCATCAAGCTGTTCGCCAATGACTTGCTGTGTTTTGTGGGGAAGCCTATGAGTTGGTCAATTTATGACCCAGATAGACCCAAGCCCAAGCCTCAATCATTCTAGCAGCTCTGCGGGGCTGAGCTCGCCGGGACACGTCAGCTGACGGCCAGCAGGGGTGGCAGTTTTAAGGCTCAGCGCAGGAGCCCTTTTCAGGTCTTTATAAGAAGAATTATTGATCCAGATGTTTTGCGTGTGAAGGTGATGTTGAAAACATGGAGTGATCTTTCCATTTGTTCATGCGCTGGGGCCTCTCCGGCCGTTCTTTAAGAAAAGAAACCTACCACGATGCCCACGGAGAGGTCCAATCCACTTCCAGGACTTGGCCTTCCGGGAGAAGCAGAGGGATATTGCCTCGTACACTCGAAAGGCCGAACGTCACGACGTCCGATCCGGATGGACCGAGCGCCAGGCCCATGGACCGAGCGAACGAGGGAAGATTCTCCATCAGAACCGACAGGACACTTTATTGGCTGACGTGTTTTTAGGTAGTATTCTGAAATAGGAACGGGTTTGGGCCCGGGTAACCTGGGCCGCCACGGGCGACGGTAGGTCGGTTGTAAACGGGTGAAACCAGGGTGAAGAACGAGTTCCAGAGGTAGAACCGCCAGTGAACACATGGGTCCCGCGCGCGCCCTTTGGAGAATGACATGCAGAGGGAAGACCTGATTTCTCTAAGCGTTAACTCATCCAACTAAGTCCATGTTGATTGTAGCTACTCAGGAGACACTTCCACCCTACAAAAGCATCTCATTTGTAACACCACATTGACAAAGATGTGCCACGATGTGCTGGGTATTAAGAATATAACTTGGGTCTGTCCTATTACCTGTAAAAGTCAATAAACAATAGTTATATATCACTTTTGACACCGCTTCGCTGTCGAAGCCACCCGCACGTAGACTTGTGCTCTCTGAGCCGGGAATCAGCAGCAGCAAAGCAGCTGTTGGTTTGGTGTAAACCGTGGTTGGTGTAAACCGTGGCTGGTGCAAACCGTGGCTGGTGCAAACCGTGGTTTGGTGTAAACGGTGGTTGGTGCAAACCGTCGTTTGGTGTGAGGTGGTTGGTGCAACCGTGGTTTGGTGTAAACGGTGGTTGGTGCAAACCGTGGTTTGGTGTAAACGGCTGTTGGTGCAAACCGTCGTTTGGTGTGAGGTGGTTGGTGCAAGCCGTGGTTTGCTGTAAACGGTAGTTGGTTGGAAGGCCACATGGACAAGCACACACACACGATGTAAATAATTCAGTGTCTCTCTGGCTGCATAACCGACATCGCCAATGACTTGCTCCGAAGGCCACACCGACAAGCATACACACGGTGTCAACAATGCAGTCTCCCCCTGGCGGCACAATGACTTCACTATTGTAAGTTACTATAAAGCATCAAAGAGACAGCATTCTAGAGCAAAGTTTTCCCCTCAGCTAAAGCTACGGCTATGCTATCTAGCAACTAGCGCGATTATGCGACTGCTTTTAGGCCCAGGGAATATAAGTGACTTCCACCAGCTCACCAATTTGCACCCCCAATTCCATGTGTGCTGCCTCGCCTCGCTGGTTCCGCGGGCGGATCTCTCCGCTCGCGCAGATCCGGAAGCTTTTCCAGACCATGGACACCAGTGGAGACGGAACCATCAATTATGAGGCGACGGCCGGCCCTGCCTCAATGAGAAGCGGAATTAAAGGCAGCAACCCAGTGTCATCCCCCACCAGACTTGAATAATTGCGATAATTAGATTGTCTATTCAGTTTCTTCATGTGCATATGGAATCAACCCTGGCCAGACCATCGCGATGCTGCTTGATATTGAGAATGAGTGCAGCTCTCTTCCCTTAGAATCCTATGCGCGTGCGCAGTCAGTTCCCACACCCGGAAAGCCTTTTTTAGAAGGAGGAGGCCCCTGTGCCCGGTACCAGGTATGATCATTAACCATCCCACCTGCCACACTAAATTTGGTACCCTCCCGAAAACTAACATGGACCCTGACAATGGGTTGCTGGAAGATTGTTTTCCTCTAGCAACCAGTGGTTTTCAGGGTCCATGTTAGTCTTCCAGATTGTAATTTGATCCACTTGGGAGCTTTCAAGCCATGCAACCGCCACATTCGGGGCGATGTCCGGGAGTCGACCCTATGGCAGTAGCTCGAATCGCTTTGGGTGCTGGTACTTGGTTTGATCATGCTTGATTGTTTGATCACATCCGTTCTGGGTCATAGTCAGATCAAAAAGGAGTGCTTTCGAGCCCCCGTGCTTCGCATCTATTCGCCTTTTTGGGGGGTCAGATGTTGACCTCCCAAGCGAAACCCAGCAGCACGGTCCAGCAGCATTGTTTCCTTCACGGAGCTTTTTTCGGCTCGGAACGAAGGAGTTCTCCAAGTTGGTGAGCGATCCAAAGTTGAACTTTTGGATTGGACAGTTGGAGCCACTTGATTGGACGTGGAGCCACTTCCCCAAGGTTTTTGCATCGGCAACCTGGGAATGGGATAAAGATGGATAAAGCAAATGGGATTTCTGACATGGATGATAGACAAATGGGACCTGGTTGTTCAATATATTTCAACATGATCCTTTTGAGTTTTGAGGTTTCAGGTGACCCATCAGCCTCCGAAGGAACACTTAGGGACGTTATGTTCAAAAGGTCGCTTTGAAGAAGCTGGGATCTAAGAATGTCCTTTCACTCGCGTGGAGCCGGGGGTATGTCCGGTGCCCTTTGCCCAGCGAGCTGCGCAACCCTCAGCACTTTTGATTGTGAAAGACGTCTCATGACTTGAAGGTCAAATGTTGGTCGCCACGGAGGAAACTGGAGTTATGGCCAGATATTGTTGGTTTGAAGTTCATGGCCAGAAGTCTAATTTTATAGTCAGATGGGACTCTCTTGGCAACCGTTTTTGTTGGTGGACAGTGGAGTGTGCGTTCTTACGCCGGTGGCCATACCGATGTCGATGTTGTTCAAACAGGCCCAAGGAAATGCAAGTGAGGGACTCCCCGCTCTCTTTTGGGCCTAATACTATTTAGCTGAGCTCTTTCTATTGGACCCAGGTGTTGGAACATGGAGGATGCATTTCCGAAACAATGCTCTACTAGCATTGATACTGCAACAAAAAATGGCCTCACCGGTTGAACAGCCTCACCAGCACTGAGTCCTCGGGTGTTCACCCTGTTTCGGATGAAGAGATGGGTGGAGTCTTAGGACTGCCTGTTTGGCTGCGCTTGGGGGAAGAGGCTTGTCGTTAACAATTACATATAGATAGAATTTATATCATAACTGTTGTACCTATGTCAATGTTTGTGTTTAAATTCTCAGTTGTGGTTCGTTTAGCCAGTGATGCCAGTCTTGTCCTTTGGATAGCTTGTCATATAGTCTTACAATGTTTTACCGTATGTTCCATTTCAGCTTGCCACGGGGCCGAAGGCTCAGTGATTCTGTTTCTCACCATCACTGACGATCAACAAGTCAATGGCACCACAATCGACAGTGACATTTTACATTTCTTCAAAGTTAAGGACTCATGTACTAGATTATACTATATATGATGGATTCCTATATACACTGACTAACTAACATGGAACTGGAGAATGACCCCCTGCAAAGACCATTCTTCTTTATAAACAGTTGGTTTTCCATTTCCATGCTAGTGAATCGGAGGGTACATGTTTGACAAACTCTGTCATCTTCATGAGGGCCGGCTGTGCTGGTTGCTCTCAAGGTTGGAATATCACGATCTCATGAGCCTCTTCGAGTTTTTGGACAATGGCGTGACTTGGTCTATTATTAGTAGTAGTAGTCGTAGTCAGTATCAGTAGTAGTAGTAGTAGTAGTAGTAGTAGTAGTAGTAGTAGTTTTGGGTTTGATGTCGCCGGCAAAAGGGGTGAACTTTTCTTGTGTTTCGTGAGCAAAACTGTTTTCTAGGACACATTTTGGGATGCTTCACTGTGCACTACGCTGTAATTGACAGATGCTTTTGGATTTTACCGAACCTGTCTTAGGGCCACTGCTGGTTGAATCTGCCGTTCTCAGGACGGAGAAATTACCTTTTCGGAGTTCATCGAAGGAGCGACGCGGCTTCGAGGCGCCGGGTCGATGGGTCGTTGATCTGAGACGGCAACAGAGAGGCTGCATCAGACCCTTCGAAACCACGGCCCTACATCCAGCTCCAGAAGATGGGGAAGGCACTATCCTGCCGCAGGCTGTCAAGGAAGCACTGATGGTTGGTGCGGAGACGAATTCTTTTATTCTTCCGGAGAGCATGAGTACAATGATCTGTTTTGACATGTTTTGACTCTTGGAAGACTTGGGGCGCTTCCCCTCCACTTCGATCTCAGATTTTGTGGCGCCCCTATAATTCGTCAGGAGGCCAACGCGGTGACGCTCCACGCTCGCTCGCTTGCTTCTCCGAGTACGGAACAATTTCGGTAACTGGCGGAACTTTGATGAGACGCAACTTCTTTTTGGAAATTCCATGCGCGGTGAACCGATTTCCGCTCGGGTTTCCGCTTATCCGAAGAGGGTCCTCTTCGGTTTCCGGCCCTCGGGGTTCGGACGAGGACCGAAGACCTGGTGGAGTGGATGACTCAAAGGGGCAGCTTGGAGCTAGCGTTCACCTAACGTTTTCTCCCAGAAAACTGCCCAACTTGCTTTCTTTCACGCACGCTATTCGCACCTAATAGCACAAATGAGTATCGCCCTCAAATGGATTGGAATCCTCCGCCCAAGGGGACATGTCTGGCCTCAGGGCCTTCCGCCCCAAAAGGCCAGGTCGGCAAGCTTCCAAGCTTCCAAGCGTCAAGCCCGGGCTCTAGGACACTGCAATCAGCCCGAAGTCACACATGTTCTTCAATCAGGATGGAAGGTGTGTTGCTCAAAACCAACAAACATCAAACAACCAAACCTTAAACTTCATGTTCAGATAGTTTATAAAGGACCAGTTGCCTTGCATTTCAAGTCCAAACCCTGCTTTTAGCACAACACCAACCAGGACAACTCCTGCCACTTTTGAAGGGCCAAAGAAACGTTTGGTTTTGCTAACGTTTTTGTTTTGTTGATTCTTGGAAGATGTGGACGGATCCCAATGTTTTGAAAGGTCCATCAGCCACTCAGACTGATGTGTTTTATGACGAAGAGGACCCTCCTGCTGAAAGTGTTGATGGCAGAGAACTGTTTTTTCCAAAGACCTAATGACCTAATCCTCCCAAGGCTGATCACTTTCACTCAGCTGTTGAAAGAAGAAGGATCGTGACAGCTCAGTATTTATATAAGATCCCTTTTTCAATAGCCTGAGCAAGGTTTCACTGAACACATGTAGCAGGCATGGGGCTCAACAGCATGCAACAGGTAAACTTATATGATATACAGACTTATGTAGCCACGATGATCACCCCTGCAACCTTCCCAGGTGGTTCCTTTTCTTGGTGCTACTGTATTCTTATGTATACTGGCAGATTTACAGTTGTTACAGTTGTTACACACTTCATGGGTTGGTTGGTATGATTTTTGTCCAGACCATTCCAGACAGACCACTTGAGCACCGCAAGAAACCTCCCAAGATGAACTAAGTAAAGGCCTTGTCATATGGAACTTGGGCGTAAGCAAACACCTGAAGAGCGTAAGGTTGCGTAAGGGAGCTGTGAGACATGCATGTTGCGTAAGCTTGCCATATGGTTGTGTTTTCATTAGTAGATTCTCAGTTCTTTTTAGAGCAAAAACGGTGTGGAAGCAGCAGGCTGTCGTCAGCACCAACGGACCTGTGACAGAATTGGCGCAGGTCAGGCGAAGGCTTTGGACATTTGGCGCATGGAGACGAAGGTGGAGGTGCAACTTCGACACACGTGGTTTGCGTCAGCGGATGTTGCGGACCTTCGATGTGAGCACACGTCGGGCCCAAGAAGTAAAAGAGAGGATGTCGGATGGATTTCATGTGTTGATTTCGATGTTTTGAGCGCTTTGATCAAGTTGCTGATGGATGCAAGAGCAGAGGGGGTGCCAGGTGTTGAAGAACGTTGAACCCACGGCCACTGCGCGCCCAAGCACGGAAAATCCGTGAAAGAGAGACCAGTGAAAACGAGGTTGAGAGACCTGAACGTTCGGACCCCATAGTGGGACGTATGGGATGGGCTATCAGGCTGTTCAACCTCTCTTGGCTGACTAAAAACCATCCAAAACACCCTGACCTGGGAGCATCTGCCAGCCATCACCAAGCGGACGCTGCACAGACGCTGCACGTCGGGAGGTTCTCTTTGAGGAAGTTCTGAACATTTTGGCCGGACCTGGACAAGGCACCCGACACAGCCGGTGAAGAACACGAGGTGAAAAATGAATGTGACCACTTGGTGTAGAGAAGGAACATCTGTTTGGGTGATGAAATTATGTAAAAATAGGGAGATCTCTCAGTTCGACCCCCTGGAAGATGGGAAGTATTGACCAGTCTCTACCCGTTGGTTGGGGTTGTTTGCAATCTCCCTATTAAAATACACAGCCATTTGGAGACGAGGTTGAGAACGGTGGAGAGACTTGCGGTTGGTGTGAGGCCTGTTGGTGTTTCCCTTAAGAAGCAAGCTACAGCTAGGGGGAATCTGATCATTTGGTGGGGAGACTGACCTGGACCAGGGGGATCTCCAGGTCGATGGTCTCGTGATAACTGCCCCAAATGGACATCCATGTGCTGATCAATCCATAGGGCTTCTGGCCCATATCCTCAGGTTCGGTGGTTAGACCCCCCTGGCACCCCAAGCACTGGAGTCTTTGTCCAACAAGTTTGAGCGCTTTGAGATACTCTTGAGATGATGAGCTAAACACAGCCGCGATACTGCACAGCTCTTTGGAGGTCCTTTGAGCGATCGATCCTGGAAAAACTCTGCCTGCGATAAGAGGCCCGCAATAGAAGTGGCTCGTCACAAGTCATCTTGGATCGCTCCAGTTTCCCCAATAAAGAAACTGGAAAGGACATGTTGACTTTTACAAACAAAATCAGAACCTTGCAATAGCCTTGCAAGCCGAGCATAACCCTAGGCACGTACCAATAATATGCACCAATGGCCTGCACCTGCGGATTCCAGAATCTGATTGCGAGACTAAGTTTTTCCTTACTGTAGGGCTTTGGTCCATCAAACCCAGAGATGATGGACAGCAAGTCCTAACATCGTTGATCGTTGTGATCATCCAACCCACCTGATTGGCCCCCAAAGTCGGATTCTACCTGGGCCCAACATTGGCCACACACATCACTGTATATAAGTGCGCACTCATGTTCCCAAGTGTGGTTCACCATGCTCGGTCGAGGCTCGTTGCACCCGCCGCCAGCGTCACCCGCGCTTTCAGACGTCGAAGCCATTCCAAGGACGGGGTGCGTGTTTCGCGTCTTAGACTGGTCTTTCATGGCCGAAGAACAGGACCCAAGTGAAACAGAAAGGATTCCGGATTTGGGATTGCCCCAAACGACCCTCACTAGCGCCTTCATGTCGGATTGCGCTGGACCCCTTTTGACCCCCGACACGAGGCTCATCTCATCATGGGCGGATCGAGCGGTGAGCTACGCTACGTAGCGTTGCCGTTGAAGGCCCTTCAAGGTTGAATATTCAACACACGAGGTCGTATAATCCCCCAGCAGGCAGTTTAGTTGTAATGAATGGCAAAGCGTCATTGTTTGTACAGCCCCACATTGATCTTTGATGTTGATGGGTTCACTTGCTTGGGGTTACAGTACACATCATCTACGTTTTCTGCAAAATCTGAACCTTCATGAGCCCATAGACCTCCTTCATTCTCTTGATGTTTTCCGTACCCCCGGTGTGTTGCTTGCTGTCTCCTTTGAAAGCACTGCGAAGGCATTTATGGGCCAAGACTCGTGGACTTCGAACAGCAGAGCACTCTCAAGAATCCCTACAGGTGAATGTTTGCGGTGACTACAGGTTGATGTTGGCTTGACAGATACCTTTTGCTCCACAGAAAAACCCGTTGGCGGAGGCCGGAGTGTTTCGACCAGATCACCGAGCATCAGGGGTGTGGAAGAAATCACACCTTGTTCCGTATTGGGAGACAACCATTTTCACACCTTACTGTAGGACACAGCAACTCCGTTGCGACAAGAGCATCGAGTTATCCAGGGTCAGAGCATCGAGTGGCCTCCCTGGCAACGACACCCTAGAAGAAGGAACATGGACCTTCAGCCCAGTGGGGGGGATCTCCGTGGCAGGGTATATCATGTGTGGAAGCCTTTGTTTGGGCCCACATCCGTGTATTCTCTCCTATCATCACTGCTACAGGGGCATAAATGCAGAACTCCTTACAAGGCAATGCACTCGTTGTGCTGAGTGATCGCAGCTCTCCTTTCACTTATTGACTAGCGCTCCCTTCAATAGCCAAAAACAACGTATGTGAGCAATTGGAGGTGAATTGGGCTGTGAGAAGTATGGCAGGGTTGGGTGGGTTAGGGCAGATCACTGGGGTCGGTCCATCTCGTTGACCTATCGCTTGTGGTTTGCTTCTCTGGTTGCCCAGGCTTCACCTGGCTTTTTGTGCTCGCACATGTTGGAATCAAAATCCATTTAGATCATTCTAGATCTATGTGTTCTATGATGTTCTCATCTACATCCACGACACATTATATATACATATGACATACTCTTCCCTTTAACGGGGATCTCCCCATGAACATACACATCCATAAGACCAAGGCTTCACATTTCAGTTATGGCATCCTGCCACCCGGGTTGACACCCTGATGAGTGAACAATGTCAAGGAGCGAGTCAGAAACCACGGATGTCAATGTATATTTCTACACATCTCCACTTGCTAGTCGCAAGCGAACCGCTCTTGACGTATGCGAAAAAAAGAAAACATCTCCACGTCTTTCAATTTTAGGAGAACTACCTTGCTTTCGGTGTCATTGTGGACATCTTGAGATAGACTGATGACATGAATTTGGGGCGCGTTTTAAGGTCGTTTTGGGGTGAGACTTGCAGATCAACTCATGAGGGACTCAAGGTTTTGAGGCTACTGACTCCTGACCACTGACTTATTACTATAGTCTATAGTCTATAGTAATAAGTGGATATGATATAGAGTTCATAGAATGTCATATCATAGAAAACCAAGGAAACAAGAGGAATCTTACAACTTGATTGAAGTGGAATTCTGTGAACTGATAATTATATAGAACTTCATATACAGAGGTATCTTGCGAAAAATAAAAACGTGCGAGCAACGCGAGGACTGTGTCCGTGAGCAATGCGAGCAACGTCCAAGACGTCTTCGCCCAGTCGGCATTTAAACACATCAGGCGTCGGCAGTGTGGCAAACGATTAGTAAGCACTGACAGGGCATGGATCAATTGGGGGAATCTGCAGTGGCGGCTCATTCCCTGAGACCACATGTTTTTGGGGATGTGTTTCTTGGTGGCAATCTGGGTGATGTGGCACCGTGGATCGAAAAAGAGCCGCTCACCGCCCCGGGCGCTCAGCCGCTCAGCCGCTCCGCTCCGCTCGCTCCGGTGAATCCGATTCGGACCATCAATCGGAATGATCCGGGACAAGGATTCGGTTCCCAGGCTGTATCATCATGGAATGGTGTAGCAAGGACAGAGAACACTCAAAGAAACACATTGGCATGGATGGGATTGTTGCATTTGGAGATCATCCACCGGTTTGTCGGTTTGTGTTTGTTCAATCATTCCGGTCTATATAACTCTAGCTTTCAGCACAGGTCAGCACTAGGAGCCGCGAGTCAAGGTACTTGGTATCAAGAAAATGACCTTCAAGCTTTCTCTTTTAGTCAATTTTCCACCTGCAAGAATGCATTGGCTTTCCAACCAATAGTAGTCCATAGTAGTTCCAACTCATTTGGCTGGTTTCATATATTATATAATCAAGCTCTTATTTTCATGAATCTGTTAATCTTTCAAACCTCTCCACACCCCTGGAACTCCTGTTGGAACCTCCCGAACTGGCTTGCAGCTTGGTCGACCTTCCTTTTTGGTGCACAGGAGTATCCAGAAACAGCGCTTCTCTCCCACGGAGGATCTGAGAAGTGAAATATAGCTCCCGCCGCGCCGGCCGGGCTCCCGTGTGCGGTTGTGAAGAATCGAGGCCATCCGACCGGGGGCATGACCCGTTGGTGGTCTACATGCAGTCTACACCTGGTGAAGCTTAAACAGAAACAAGAAGGAACACCAACTTCGACAACAAACACAGCAACTGTTGCTTTGTGTTGTTTTCTTAAGGTTTGCTGATCTTATCGACTGCTGCTTGCTGATGGACGCATATTCTTGGACGACATCCGCGTTGCCACTTTTGCAACGTTGACGGTGTTTCTAACCCGATAAGATATGATAAGATGATTGACAAGAGAAAACAAAAGAAACGGAAGAAGTGACTCTCTTGTTCATCAGAAAAGCAAAAAAGCGTGGTGATTTCCATCAGACAAGTGATCCTGCTGTTGCGCTCTCGCAACGGAAAGCGTTTCTGCAGACCCCAAACGGTGAAGACACTGTAACCCTCTCTGAGGCTTCAAACTCATTGCTCATTGCTTATGCCGTGATCCTGACAGTGTTCGAGGAACCTGCAAAGGAAGTATGAATGCTTCCCGAACCATTCAAGGCAGTCCAGTGATTTTTGGTCTTTTGCTCCTTTTAGGCCTGCAGGCAGATTGATTGGCTCTTGCATGCATTTGTTCATAGTACAGCAAAGTTGATTTCCCGTGAATGTACCTGGATCAAAATCCAATCGTCGATCATCTTGGGGTCAGATTCATCAATGTGCGGTGCATGATGGCTTCGAGGTCAAAGAATCCTTCTGATCAATTGGGCAGTGTACATGATCAATCTCAATCACTGGAAGAGGTCACAGAATCTTCCGGCCTCATACTAGTGACTTGGAGGTCTTCCTATTCTGACACCTATCATCACCACCTATCCATTATGGACCTGGTTCCTGGTTGGTACGAAGTAAGCTGCTTTTAGTGACCTGAAACCTGGAATTGATGGAAGGATTTGACGGGGATTAGCAGCTGGCCAAGACTCAGTGAAACTGGGATGTGCCCGACCCAAGCTGCAGCTAGCCTCAAGTTTCCTGAAGAGGAAGGCTGGCCAGACACTTGCAATAGATTGCGAGACGTAGCTTGAGGAACTTGGGTTTCAAGGCCAAAAACGAAGCCTGCGGCAAATGCAAGCCAATGGGACAAGATGTTGTTTTAGCATGTTTTAGCCAGTTCTTGATTGGTCATATTGGTCCTTTCAAAGTCCCAATGGGTGTCCAGGTTGAGTGTGCTGGAATCTCTTGGAATTTGAAGTGGTTCACTCTAAATCGATGTATACCTTTGTGTGTGTTTTTGTTGAAATGATATGTATTACCCTACAGGTCAAAACACCACATGTTACTGGAGTTGGTCATACAAAAGCACTACTCAATGAGGTAAAGGACCAGGTCATACTGGGCACATATATATATATATACTGTTCAGATATTGCAGCCATTTGGCGGTCCAAAACGCTGTCCAGATGTCAAGCCCCAAAGTCGGAAGTCCGGGGAGTGGCCAATAGTAACCAATAGTCGTCACGCTCTTGAGTTTCAGTTGATCATAGTTTCTCACGCTGATGGAAACCACAAAGACTGACTATAACATAGCGACTGAAACCCGGCGCGACCTGTGTGTTGGAGGACTTTTGAAGATGCCACGTGTTGCTTTTTCTATGTCGACAACGGGTGAGCATCCTTATTTTTGCCCAATGCATTCCCAGCCTTCAATTCATCGTGTGAAAGGGGGATTGTTTCTCAGGTTTTCAGGGAAAAAAACATCAGAGCCACTTGGCCTTTACTCCGTACTCTCTATGCTGAACTGAGCGCCATGGCCAGATCTCCATCACTTGGAGAGACCTCGCAGCTTGTTGGTCGGGAAGCGGTCGGGGATGGGGTTCACCTCTTGAAGATGGGCTCAATCCATAACCTGCCACAGCGGTTTTGGTTGAAGAAGTTGACACCCCACCAAACATGAGCAGTTGAACATCAATCACTCAAACTATTTTCCAGCGGAACTGAGGGGTCAGCAATCCGTAGACATTTTGGATTGTAAAGCCTTTTCCAAACTACAAGAGTCTACATCTAAGAGTCTACAAAAGGGAACGCCTTCTACAGAACCGACAGACCCAACTTCTCCAGCTACAGACCTCGCGTCAACGTCCGTACCCGTCCGGGACGTCGCCGGTCCCACCGCGGTGGTCCGCCGTGGTCCTTGTTTTACCGCGTGGTCCGCCGGGGGATCTATTCAAAAAAGGATTGTCAGGAGAACTGTTGAACAAAAAAAGCACTTGTTACTTCTTCCAACTATTCTTCTGGTTTTCCACCATGTCCGGTTGAGATCAGCCCAGGCAGTTGGCCATTCCCGCCAAAGAGCTCGTGCCTTGGCAGAAGCTCCCCGCACCGTGCACCAGCGGGATACGCCTCCGTCCGCAACGGTGGAAGTGTGCCATTGTTTCTCTAGGGCTCCAAGTACATTTGGAAGGGGTTTGATTCTTATACTGTATAATATCTCGATCTCTGTAGAGAGACCTCTTGAGTCAAACAAGCATAAGGTGACTTCGATGTAGTAATTAACACCTGCCTGCAGTCCTCCAACTGTGACAATGTATTTTGCCTTTTCATCCATCAAAAGCAGCAAAAAGGCAGAATCCGGGTATGATCATGGGTTTGATACTGTCGATGGACCTTTCTGCCCACCAAAGCAGAAGGGTCTCACAATATTGCGTTGTGTGCATTTCGGCCATCGATCAAATTCGACAAGCGTCCAACCATCAATGCATGACTCTCCAACCCAGGAGGTCAGGTCGATGAACCGCCTCCAATGACCCCTCAAATGGTTGGCATCCCCTGACTTCCACCAACATCGAACTTGGGATTTGCACCCGAACTTGGTCCGGACCGCGAACGCGAAATCGGAATCTCCGGACCCAGTTGAACATAGCAGGCAAGGAAGCTGGAAGCTTTGTTTAGTTGTTTTTAGCGAACCGCGTATTCCGGTGGATCTATATAGCTATAGGCTATAGCTATCTATAGCTCCTTGTTTGGTGGAAAGCTTCCAGTAGTCAGATGGGGTCATGATGGTCTCCTCCAGGATTCCACGAGGAGACCACACTTTTGGGAGTCGATGTCATGGTCAAAGGATCCGGTTCGTATGGCTTTTCACAGTTCAGATAGATCAGATCAATGAGCTTCTGTCTCTGTTTTTCGGATCGCCTTGTGTGAGAACCGCCCCTTCTCTACTTGAACCTTCTCCCCGTGTGAGATCTCCTGCTGCGTGGTGTGAGACATGACCTTCTCCTTTTCGCATCGAAACGATGATCTCGTGGACCATCTCGGTGAGATCTCGGTTGACGAACGGTTTCGACCAGTCTAAGACTGGTAGTACGGGGGACTGGCGTACGTGAGACTGACGTGGGACGTGTTTTTTGAACAAACAGGTTGGTTCCGGTTTCTGGTCCGATGGCATCCGAGTAGGAAGAGACATATAATATAGTAAGGACATCTCATGGGAGTTGAATTGAAGAGAACCTACACTGGTCGTCTTTGCACGTTGTGTGACAGACAGAAGCAATGAATTCTCCAAGTCTGTTCCAAAAGAGAGCTTCTTTTGGTCATAGACACTTCATTATACATAAAGATGTCATAAGAAAACATGTGTTTTACAATACCAAAGTCACCTCTTGAAATACCTCATAACACCTCATAGACACTCCTCCTGGCATTACTACTAGGAGCAAGGACGCTACTAGGGGCTCCTGGCATTACTACTAGGAGCAAGGGCGCTACTAGGGGCTCCTGGCATTACTACTAGGAGCAAGGACGCTACTAGGGGCTCCTGGCATTACTACTATAGTAGCATTCTACCAGTAACAAGAAGCTACTAAGGTCATTTCCCACATCACATCCCGGTCCGGCCTGTCGAGCGGTCAGGACGATGGAATTCCAGAGCCACCCGAGCCAGGCACGGTGTTCCGGCCTGGGCCGGCTTTCGGATCCAACGGGGTGGGTCGTGGGTCCTGTGGTTAGGCCCGGGTCCCGTGCGTCCTGTGGATCTCTCATGGTGTCCGTTTCTTTTCGTGGTACCGTACCTGACTGTTTTGTGGGTAGCAGTACCAACAACAAACGGCACATGTTGGAGGAAAAACACGGCACACATGTGCGATTCCTGGGTCAAATCAGTGAGCCAGGAATCGAGAATTTCACTTGCTCGGCCATGGAGCCATGTGCATCACCAATTAGTCAGTCAACAAGAAGGGGGGTACTTGCGCACCCTGAAGGGGGTAGGTGGTCGAAATCTCAACCTTTTTTTGCAGGGTCTTGGAGCAAATCCCAGACACTCCATGGGACTGGAATGGACATCTTTCCGACCCCAGGTCAACCACCCCTGGCCTCACCGAGTATCCCAAAGGCCAAATAATGCAAAATAACCAAGGGCCTCCGTGATTGCCACAAGAGAGCTTGCGATTCCGTGGCGACTCCTTTTCCCACTGCAAAAGAAAATGGCAGTGAAAGCATGCAAACAAAAATGGGTGTGACCATTCTGGCTGCAGACTTATCTTGATGTACAAGATGAGGGTTTCCAGAATCTTACATTGTTTGAAGCTTGCGGGGTACACAGCCAAGCTTCGGAAACAAAAAAAACAACGGTTCTACATGCTTCTTTGTCGCTCAACCAATGGCTTTCGACCAACAAATCCAGGCTCCTCTCACGGCCTGTTTCAAGCGCAGGTGCGGCCAAGAGCGAGGTGCGATCCAAAGCGACAGGAGCGGGCTGAAAGGTCGATAGGAGCCTTGTGGGACATTTGCTGCATTATTTTTGTTGTGCGGTTTGCTAAATCCTCAAACAACTAAGCCATACTAAGCCCGAGCTACCAAGAATACAGAAGAAGAAAACGATAGAGAGAGAGGTATGGACACCCCACCCACCCTTTCTTCCGACACGTGGATGTATCGCACCTGATGAGAGCTTTAGTGAGCGTGCACCCCATCCACGGTGGACGTGTTTAATTTGTGTTTTCAACAAGAAATCCTCAGGAGCTCAAGAAAGAAGACATTAGTTGTGTCCTTCTTAGTCGAATCCTGTGCATGGAGCTTTTAATCTGTTTTTTGCGAAATAATCAATGAATTGGTTTAAGTGAGAATCTGCAGGAACCCTTGTTTTCAGCCCCCAAACTATGGCTATCCTGTAGATTATTAAACATCCAGCAGCTAGACATGCTTCTATTCCTCGAAACGGCCTGCAGGATCTTTCGATGCACGTTCCTTCTCCAACCGTTCAGGCTTGGACTGTTCCGAAAAATGAGAGCTTTCCTGTGCATTGACCAGTGGGTCGGTGTAGTGGACCTTCTTCTTTTTACACGGTTTTAAACCATGTGTGTTGAAACCCATGGACATCAACGTCAGGTTTTTCGCCAATGGGGTTTCGCGACCCAAAGGTTTTCGGGACCTCGCACGTAGGTCGATTGAAACCTTGCGACCTACACCGACCTTCGTGTTTGACATGGGCGACATGGAACCCATGTCAACCCCCCACTGGACAGATCACCATGGAGCTCCATGATTCATGAGCCGAGGTCAACCAGGTTCAAGGTATTGACCATTCATTTGGTCTATGCTTGGCTATTCAGGTGTCGCAACGAAACAGGGCATACCCATGTCAATAAGCCTGCGAAGCCTAACCATGCAATGCAAAACCCCCATCTCATCGTCCGTACAGTCGAGTCCGGCAAGCACCACCCGGTTTCGTGAGTTCCACGCGCAGGAACATGAACATGGACAGTAGGAATATAGGTGAATAGGCTACTTGGATTTATGAGGTTGCATGGGTTCGGAAAATTTTGAGCTTACGTTTTGTGCAGTGATAAAGACTGTAAACATGCCATCAGCAAGTCCTTTTGTTTGGTGAGACGGGGGACGACGCGGATTCTCGTCACCATGGCATCATTTGCGTACTTTCATGGTGCCCCAGCCTCACCACTGTAAGTTGACAGAGAACCTTCGGTAAGAGACCTGCTTTAGTTCTATGAACACTTGGCTCCCCTGACTTCAAGATCTTCAAGGCGGTTTTTGCTTGTTCCACGCTCCGGCTTTAGTTTTCCCTCACGCATTGACCAGGGCGTCAACCAATCGACGACAGGTGACGGTCTCCTGGGTTCTGGTCCAACTCTCGCACCGGTCAGTTGGACTCTTCGACGGGATTCGTTCCTGGTCGAAGCCTTCATCATTCCAAGTGGGAGGATTAGGACAGCACGAGCGCGTTGGACTGGAGCAAAATGGGAGGAAGAGAGGTTTAGGATCGAACCATACCATATTATAGAACCCTATTTTCAGAATAGCAGGGTCACCACTACCACCCACAATATTCAATTGAATAGTCTGTGAAAGGCTTTTTGAGTCAACCCGTCGAAGGGTGCTGGTACCTTGATGATGTAGATCTTAGCCCTGCAGAACCTGCAGTTTCCCTACAAGCAGCCATAGTGAAAGCAGGGACTCTGCAGTAGGTCGGTCACCTGTAGCAAGGACCCACTCCGATCTGACCCACTCCGATCTGACCCACTCCGTGTGCCGGAGTTCCGGATCTGACCGGAGTTGAAGTTGCCAAGGGAGTTTTTGTTGGTGAAAAACATGGGCTCCACGAACCTGATTTGGTTTGGTGGTACTCACATCTAACAAATTGGCCAGATGGTGTATATATATATATAATTTGCCAAAGGGCGGTTAGATTGAAGAAGTTGGACCTTACTAGTAGGGCTGTAGGGGGGATTCCTTATATAAATATTTGTTGACAGTGACATTGTGATAAACCACCAATGGGAAACGCAAAGGGGCTTGTGAAAATGAGGTGGATGCTGCTTGGCGTACTTGTGGGCTGCAGAAGCATGAATCTGGTGGTTGCATGGAAGCAAAGGAGCTTGGCAGCTAAGAGTTCCTCCAAGCCTAAGCGTTGGTCATTTGAGTTATTGAGGTTCTTTGAACATCATTCATACTCAACCACCAAGTCTAGATCCTTTGTATGAATTGGTTTTCATTTCTTTTTGTTGATGTCCACAACCAAATGGTTCGCCACAGGACTGGGACCTCGAGAAGGCCAGACGCCGGCAGGGGGTCAAGTTCAGAGCGTTGCAGTCAACGCTTTGAGGAGTTTTTCTCTCAAAGGCTGCTCGCTTACCGTAAGAGCAGGCGCAAGCGGCACGCGTGTGCTTTCATTGTTTTTTTGTCCTGACCTTCGAGCTGTTTTTGCTGAGATGGGAAACGAACCCATTTGTAGAGTGTACAGAAGCCGGTGCTTTCTCCCAGTCTGTGGGAGTGTTACACTTTTTAAGGACTTTTAGAAGAGGGATACGAGATGGTACTCGTACAGGTACCAGTCGGTACCAGTCTTTTGTCATTTTTTTTGCCTCGCAGTTAGTTGGCGGATTCTTTTGTTGCGGCGGTGTCGTAGGGCTGGTTTGTGGTGTCACATGATTTGTGACACACGCAATTTGCGACGAGTTCTCCAGGAAAAGCCAGCTCCCTTGTGGTTTTTGGGATCAGAAAGAGAATTCAACCTGTGGAAATATCATTCTTCGGGTGTGAAGCAGACAATCTTCCTGGTGTGAAGCAGACATGCATGCACATGATTCAAGAAACGACTCTCCAAGTCTCCAAGTTCTTCGTCATTATGGTCACTGTTTATAGCTAACTCAAAACGATGTTCAGGAAAGCACGGGATGAAACTGAAATACACATGGAATACACAACTGTTATCAAATGTGTAGTCAATCTATTGTGTTGTAACATTGTTGTAACAATCACTTGTAATTATCATAATTGTGTTATCATAAATCCGTGTTCAGGCTACTGGTTAGACCAAACGGCTGTTTGAAGCGTTAGACAACTGCAGGGAACCATGAAAACAAACAGAGACATCCGCCCGAGCTGTGATCTCGGAGGCGTCTCGTCGGATTTCATGGGACTCGTGGAGAAGCTGGTGCACCAGCATCAGACAGAGATGCATCTCGGCTTGTCCGAAGTGAGAAGGGTCTCCATGTCTAGACACTCCATATTGCATGTACGGTACATATGGCTACGTTGATCCCCCAAACCACCCTAATATATCCCTTCCATACCAGTGCCATGGAGTGTTTGGGATGGGACAAGATGGACAGTTTGCTCTCACAGGTAAATTATTAGGGACACCATGCGGGGATGATGATCGGCCTCGTTTGACTTTTGCCCAATAAAGAGTTGGGGAGCTCAGCGAAACGCACTCGGTCTGTATTGAAATAGGATGAAATAAGGTGACTCGCCTACAAACGAAGACAAACAGACGAACAAACCTGGTTTGGGGAGTCTCCCAGCTCCCAAATCCAAATCGCTGAGGAGCACAAGGACGATGTTGTTCGGGTCGTTGAGGATCCAGCGGTCCAGCTGGCTGACATGTTAGAGTCTGACGACTCACGACTCATGAAAGAGGCCTTCTTTGGCACCAGAACCAAAACCCAGTGAGATGGATACTAATATAGATCAAGTCCGTATAGTGTATATATATAGTGTATATATATAATGTATATAATATAGTTTTGAGGTTTATAGGATCCCGTTTTCAGTGGATCTATCCACACCGGGGTTATTTTATTATGGCTTGGATCTATCCCAATGTCTAGTGGAGTTGTGCTTCGTTTCGGTTCTCAGGGCGATGTGCGGAAAGAAGAAGAGCTTTGATATCCCTCCGGTCACCACAGCGGCTTGGTGCAAGAGCGTTGGAGCCACTCCAGCGTAAGCTGGGGCTTGCTCATGTCCAGCAGGTGTTGGTATTGTTTGTCATTCTTTTTCAGTGGTTCCACACTCAGAAAATCTGTGTTAGTTGGTGTTTCCTGTTACCAGCAGATCATTCTTATCATTTGTTGCATGTTTGGGATTTTTGGGCTGGACATGGGAACTCACCAATTCACAAGACCAGGACCAGGGTTTGACTTTGGTTTTGCCATTGACTAAGGAATTTATACATACTTATCATGCTTATATACAATGTGTTTGGAGATGATTCATTTTTTGCTTGCTGTGGAATCAAAAGACATTCATACACCGCTAGGACAAACGCTGTTCTTCTTGAAGGTTCCAAATTGACAACCTGCAAGACGCTTATGTCACCTCACACGGTTGAATTTCCTCCCTCCAAAACTTTTTTTTGTTGCAAGATTGAACGACCGCGGCTGATCCACATAGATGTAACAAGGCCCGGGAAGAAGACATATGTTTCTTCCTCCTGAAGTATACGGCACGGTACACACGTTTCTTGGCCAAGGCGGATGCGCTTCTTGAGGTCCGCCACAGGTAGAGGTTGTCATCGACCATCATCGACCCCCTGACCCCAAGACGCATGTGATTTGTTGATCGGCGCAAAGCACATCGCTTTCCAAGTAGCCAGTGAAGGTCGACACACCGCTTCAGGTTCGCGCGACTACCGCATACCTGTTAACTGGTTCATTTCTGTGCATTTTTCCTTTGGATGATCACACGCGAGTGAGGATGTCTAGTGATTATGTGCAACATTTGTTGGACATTGGACTTGTTCCTCACTGGGGCCTCACTGGGGCCTCACATTCATTTTGCCACATCACGCTATTGTAAGGCCTTTTCATCCAAAGTGAACGCCAACATCGGTTGATGAACTATGCACCGTCCTTCCCACCAGACTTCCCTTCTCCGACCTCCAACTGGGAGGGTCGACTTTCTCCCGAACACCCGAACCTCGGCCCTCGGCCCTGGCGGGGGCGCCGCGGCCGGCGGCCCGAGGAGTGGGAGCGGCTTTGCTCCGCAGGCTCGAGATTCTCGAAGAGATCTCAGGAGCGCGGAGGTCTCGAGGTCTCTGGTCAAATGGGTAGCCGGAAGAACTCTGGAAGGTAGCACGACCCTGTGCTGGAGAGTCGAGTTTTTGGATTCCCGGGTGCAACTGCTGGGCCTTTCTTTTGAACCACACACAGATAGATGAAAAAGAGGCAACCACAATCAACAATCGGATGATGATGTTCGTGTCGCGCTTGTTGATGTCCCTTTTGACTCATTCGACCTACGTGTCGACCTCCTCGGATGCGTTGATCAATGTCGTGTCATTTTCTGCGTGTGACATTTTCTGCGGGTGATTCAGAGATTCTTTCAAGGCAGTCGCTTCGGCGCTGGGCTTCTCACTCCAAATTTTAGTGTTTGTTTGTGCCATAGCACATCATAATACATCATAGCAATCTTCGAATCTTCGGAATCTTTGTGTTTCTTGTGGCCTAAAAATTGCACTCCTTTTCAGCATGGTCTGTCGTACCTGGCGTTTTTCTTTGGTTTTTGTCCAAAACAGATTTATAGAAAGTTTTAATCTCGATATATATTTTGTTTGATCTTGCAGACCTTGACAAAAGGGTGAACCCGGTCGGAGCACTTCTTCTGCATTGATCACAAGACAGACCCAAGGCAACATCATCACCATTCATCGTACGTGTATATATTGTATATACGTGTATATATATTATATATTGGGTCTGTCCTGTTGCCAGTAACAGTCGGTAAACAAGCAAATCACTCTTCTTGAACAAGGCCTGCAACTGAACCATCATCGTCCACTGTTACTGGTAATAGGATAGACCCAATATACATATAACTATATAATATATATATATATATTCCAATTCAATACTGATCCCTCCAAGCTCCAGGAGCTGCCCAAGGTATGGTAGCAAGTCTGTTGCGGCGAGCATCCTCGCTAGACCAAAGAGGCCAAATGACCAAATGGCCTGTTTCACTTTCGCTCATCGCTTTTTCAGAGCTGCGACGGCTTTGGATCGCACGAGGTCCTCGGTTCAATACAAGAATTGGGCCAAGGTCCTCTGTTGTTGTGATTCTCCAGCAAACACTGTTTGGACCAAACAAATTCTACCGATTCTACCACAGAAGCACTTGTTATTCACTAGCTGTCTTCAGCACGAGATGAGTCAGTCTCTCAGCTCAGCACTTCAGGAGCCTGGTCAGGCGGGGACACGGCCGACGGCCTGCTCATCCGTGGATGTGGCGCAAATGGCGTGTCAGCACGGATTTGATTCCAAGACGCTTCGGCACGGATTTGAGGCATCCATAGAGTCCTGTGTCCTGGGGCACTGACAGAAACGATGATTCCGGTTTGCTCTTGACCACTTCACCACCAGCAACTGTCGTACCCGTACCTCGCCCTGGAGAGGCCTTTTCACCGGCAGCAGTCTTGATGCGTGGCTCGGAGCACAAAGGAAGGGAGAGAAACGGGAGCAGTCGGAAGAGACCATTGTTGTGTGATTTCGTGTCCTATATTATAGATTACAAGAGGGGTTTCTGGGTGGGGCACGATGTAACAAAGCGGATGTATTCTGGTTCTTGACCCACAGTTGTGTGGAAAGATCATTACACTTTGAGCGCTTGTGAGATCATCCCCATTACATTAGGCTATCACTTATGCATCCTTTTCTTCGCCTGAATGGCAGGAGCCTCATTGGTCCTGGAATCATTCATTGGGAACTAGGTCCAGCTTTTGGTTTGTTGCTTTTACCATGGATGTCGTCTCACCTGTAAAAGCTTATCTTCCTTCCATTGAACAACTTTTGCTAGCTGGCCTGATGACCCGTTCTGCTCATGTTTGCTATCTTGTTCCGATGTTCAGCTCGGTGCTGGCCTGGAGTTTCTGCTCAACTTAAGTTTTTGTGTATATAGTCCAAATCAATAGGAGGCCATGATACCCGTTTCAGACAGGGTCTTAGTTAAACGTATTTTACATTTCAACTCTTCATTCAATCATTATCTTCTTTTGGAACCTAAAGCACTGGTAGAGTGACCTTTGGGGGGAGCCCATCCGTTGACCAGCGGGTCACTAGGCTGGGTTAAGGCCCGGCGGTTTTGGACTCACACAGCCTTACAGACGTACAGGCGTCTTCATGACCAGGTCAAACCTTTCATAAGGTGAGCAGATCCCGATCATGAGCAGATCCACTTCAGACCCACTTCCTTCCCCAGCGGGTGTCCCGAAAAAGGTTCTTCATTCGACCCACTTCAGACCTAGGTGAGAGGAAGCATGATCTCAAAGAGTTGGACGCCAGCGGGTGTCCCCAGATGATTCGCTCGATGGGTCGACGGAGCGAGCGATTGGTCGACGGTCAAAACACGGGTCGCACCTCGGGAGATGTCTTTTGTACGCGAGGTTTACACGCAGTCAGGTTCCCCTGCAGTGAGGTTAAGGGAGGCGAAACGCGCCATCCCCTTTTTTTCCATTGGCGGTCTAGACGCAGACGCAGATACCTCTTTCTAATGCCTTTGAGGTGCGACCTGATACGGCCAAATCAACCGCCAAAACGTGTAAGGACTGATTCTAGCAACAAGTCGTCGTTAATTTCAGGAGTTTGGCTAAAACCTATACAAAAAACACGAGAGGCTCCCCTAGAAAGCGATGACATGCGATGACCATATTCCCTCATGTTTTTTAAACATATGTTCAGCTATATATGTTGACATTGTAGCTAAATCCTGCAAAAGCGATAGGCCCCCCTCAAAAGCAATAACCTTGCTGAATTATGTCCTCTACTTGACAGTATACATCTTGGCAGAGGCTCAAATGACAGCATACATGTGAAGCCACTGGCGAAGGGACCTCATCGGACAACCATGCCAGCAATGGCCAGTTTTCTGGGTCGATATGCATCGATTTGGTGCTATTTCAGCCTTTAAGCACATCTAGAAAATAAATTAAGTTTTTGGAACACAACAATATCATTGGCCCAGCCCCACCCTGCGCCCACAAGATAGAGTAATGCCGTCGATGAAACGACGTTCCGGTCCCTTCTTCACACGCGAACCGCAATAAGCCAATCCCAATCGCGAAGTTGCAACAGACGACGCTATACAATGTAAGCTGGCGATAGACACTCAATGAAAGATTGAACAAACAAAAGTAAAACTAATAATTAAAAAACAAAAACAGTAGGATGCCAACCACAGTGCGTGATCCGCCGCAGCATCAAAATTGATCCACGACCTGTCGTTGATTAATGCAGTGTCTAACGCTCTAACGCAGTGAGTGACATCGTCACAAGGATCACAACAGAGACTATCGATGCACTACTTGTAAACGGATGTAAAACGGATTAATGCAGCAGAATGACAACGCCGCAAACCCGTCGCTGAGAACAAAATAGTCGAGCCCCCCCTCACCTCCCCACCCCTTAACCCAACCCTGTAAAGGAACAGGTATAATTTCTAAGTTCTAGGGCTCCTGGCCTATGGCCTATAGCCTCTGAAGGTGGTTAGACCCCAAAACCCACCCCGACCACCTTCTCAGGAGGTAGTTGGAGCCCTAGGGAATGGATCCTTGTGTGTTGTTCCATGGGTAGCTTTCGGCACCTTTCCACGCGTGCAGACCCCGGGCTCCCGAAGGTGCAAGCGCAAGAGAAGTAATTGTAGTGAGACCGAACATGGAGAACATCCCCAAGTTTGTGACATTGATGAAACGTGTCCAGGCTCCAGGCCGAACAAGATAGCTACGTCACCAACCAACTGCAAAAGTTTTAAAAGGTGTGTTTTTGCCAACGTGAACAACAAACGGCGTTAAGTCGCATATGATGGGAGTCATTGGGAGTTCAAAGAACCCCAGGTCCGACAAATTTAAGGCGAGTTTTGACTCGCCGTCTTGCGGACGTGACCGGAATCCACCGCACCGCACCTACAACAAAGCAGACGTTCCAATGTGGGCCTTCATTGGGTGAGTTCTCCATCAATTAGGGCTTGATTGGTGAACGCAGCCTGTTCTTTTGTTCAATTCCTATTCTGTGGTCGCAGCGTGGCCCAGACCAAATAATCTGAAGCATCGTTCGAAAAGAGCATCGTCTCGAATCTCTAAGGTTGCATTGCAAAGTAGTAGTCGAATTGTGAGAATTGCCAGGACCACAGGTTCTCCCCCTTCCCACCTCAAAATGCTGGAGCTTGGGGCCCCAACCCCTAATATGTGGCTGGCTGGTCATATTCTGCTCCCACCATCAACTGCTGCCAGGCAAACTGCTCGAAGCATTCGACGAGCATGCGCTGCAGGAGGTCTCGGAGGACAGCATGGGGAACCGCCAAAGGGGAACCGCGTTCTAGGGACAAACGATCAACTTAATTTTCTGGTGGTGGTGTGTACAGTATTTGTTCTTATCAATACATGTAATAATTTTACATAGAGCAGCATTGAACATCAGTATTTACTGTGCCAACAACTAACTGTGGTTACGGCTAATCTAACCAGACTTACAAAGCCATTATTGAGCTGTACATATAATAGAGAATGTGGGGCACCTAAAGACAATTTTTTCTATAATTGATTGTAATTGCCTTAAACTCCCAGAGTATGTGTATATACCCGAGAAGTCGAACCAGATCAACACCAGATCAACAATTTTAAAAGTGTCTTTGACTTTCAGGGTATATATATATATATAGATTCAACATGGTTGGTTGTTGATCATCCTTAGATGCAGCGAATGCTAGAAGGCCACGAGCACTGACCAACTCTACTCTGAAAGCACATCAATTGGAGCTGAAAAGGCCGAGGACGTGCTTGCTGGATGCTGCTTGGGAGTAGAGGCCTTGGTCCTCAATAGATTCACGTGCCCGGTCGCTTCCCCAAGACTCCCAGACTTCTGAGCTGCTCTACAATCGCCCCTGCTTCAGTGAAATCAAAGTATCACAATGCGTTTCAGTGAATGGACTGTTTCGTCAGGGGACAGCATCTTTATCCACAGCCCTTCCTTTTTGTTTTGTAAGTAGACTCTCAAAGTACCCTGGAAAACAAGCAAACAGGTGGTACATCCGGCATATAGGTATACTGCCCAGACCTGTAAACACTAGCAACAGTGGTTTTGGGCATATAGACATATTATAAAGATCCAACAAGGGACATTTAAAAAGACATCGGATTGGGCGATTTGGGGACCGAGTTTTATGAGGCAAGTTATGAAACATTTTGGAAAATAGTGCGCACGACATGCAGCCACCATTTTAGGCACATAGGGACTTCTCTGACTGTTTTTTTGCAGACAGAATACGATCAAAGTGGAATCCGTTGTGAACAACAGCGCAAACCTGACTTTGATGTAGGAACAGTCTGAAATCCCAAACCCAAAGTGTTTGATGGTCCCCTAGTTGCTTGAGGGCAGTCTGTAGCTGCTGGTACTACACTAGATGAACAAAATATTCAAACCCCTGAGTCAGGGAGCTGTCATGAACCCCTTACCCCTTACCGTTCAATGTTGAACGCGACTTCTTTCGATTTGCTTTAGGGTTTGATTTGTTTCGTCCATTCGCCCAAACGTTCTGGCAAGCTTGCTAAAATTGGGTGGTTTGGGGGGCTCCAGGGGTCAAGGTGGTTTGAAGGGATTGAATATTGCGTCCATCTACAGTAGCACAGGCAGAAAGTTACTACATGACTACATATGCATACAAACGCAATTTCTTTCATGGTCATGTTCCTTCTTCTCAGGGCGACTCCTGGAATCACCGGCAGTGTCGCGAAAACGTGTTTGACGACTGCACCGCGCAGGAGTCTTGGAGCCCGGCCATGATTGCAACCAGGATCACCTCGTAACCTGGTAAAGATTTCGGTTCGAGCGCAATGCGCATGTGAAACAGGTGGTGGTGATACGTGCCTGGTGTTGTTTGGTGTCCCCGCCAGACAACGAGTTGCTACGAATTGTATGTAAAAAGGGAGCATGATCTGATCTAAGCGTGGTAGAGGTACATTTCTCTGATGTTCTTTGCATTCTCGAGCGGGTATTTCATTGTTTTGTCCCGCATTGAGGGCCGCGTTTGGAATCCTGTTTGGAAGCTGAAAGAAGGACCGACCTCCTCGCCTATGAGAAACTGACTGCAGTGTCTCCACGATGACTGGGGATTAAACGATTCAGATGCGCAATAAGATCAATAAGATTCGGAGACCAGTGGAAATGGGATGCGTTTGGTTTTGGGATGAGGCTCGGCTCCATCGATCTGACACATTTTGCGCCGCCTTTCATGGCCGTGGTCGTCTTGCGACCAGGTTCCGCAAGCATCAGTGGGATGAACTGAAGGAAACCGGCTGCTGTACGAAACTGGAGAACTTCTTGCCACTTGGCGTGGGTTTCACCGTTTGGAACTCGCGTAGTCACGCGCTTGGAAGCGTCAATTCTGCCAGTTGGGTCTGCGGAGTGTTCACTGGCTAGCGCTGTAGGTTCACCCCCTGTTTGGAAAGAACGGATGTCATGGTCTTTCCAGGACCCCATGCCATCCACGTAATACGATGACGATGTCAGGGAGTGTAGCTGATTTGTGACGCCACATCCACTCGACTTTGGACAAGGAGTAGCACCTGTTCTGCTGACTGATGCTCCGTCGCTTGAGTATAGCATCGTGTAGGGCGAGGGATCAGCCACATACACTTTGATTGAGAGAGAAATTGTCCTGAACACCAACGAGGGTGACATGTTCCTGAGGTGTTGTCCAACATTGTACACAGGTTTGAGCCTCCAAATGTACGCATGTTTCCTATGCAGACCGCACAGGTGACCTTGCATACCCTCCTTCAAAGGTTTGCTGGGAATCTTTTGTAAGGAGCTGACTGGAGGGGTCTGTCCATGTTTGTCTGTGGCACACCAAGGAACCATATACAGTAATATGGGTGGTCATAGTGAGTCATTCTTAAGCATCTTCAAGCGCCAAATGGATGGTCCGAGAAAAGCTCTGCGAAAGCTCAGCGTAACCAAATGTGAAAGTTGTGGGATATGGCTGTCCAAACCACAGACTATAGGTTGGTGAAATGGAGAGTTGCCCGCTTGCCACTTGAGGCAGTCCAATTGGTACGAGTTCTTCATTGCCTTCGCAACTGAAGTTGCAATCAATTCACTTCTCGCCAGTGGAGCCACAGTGGGAAATCAGCTGAGTTTATCTAAGATGTCTTTTTTACATCACATACTTCGCAAAACTGCCGTGGTTTCTCCCTGCTTTGCCCCTCTACCGCCCCGGAAAAAAACAGAAACAAAACACCACACTTTTCAGCCGAAGAAACAGCGTGAGTGCGCACGTCATTGTGGCTTTCCACACTGCGACCACTTTAAACACGGAACGTTGCGCCTCAGGTCCTTGGGATGAACGCCTTGTGGATGGCCTTCGAACTCCAAGTCACTGGACGAGAGAAAGGCGTGTGGATGGCGTTCTGAACGGGTGCGTTCGGGTGATCTGTGGGACGAGTGACCACGGCTACAGTTGTAGCCAGGATTGGGTGACCATGTGTAGCCATGTGCAGTTTGTGGTTTTGGATGGTTTTGCTGCACACTCTTAATACTGTATCATGTGTTTTTTCACTTGCGGCGCATGCAGGATATAACAAGTTGTGCGAATGATTTGTCAAGAAGAGTCTGTATATAGATATTTTTTCTCGCTGAGCAGGAGTGCATTGAATGGTTTCAGTAACATCAAAAACAAAGACATTGCAAAGCTGTCTGTTTTTGAAGGATCATCCTGAGTAGATTGTCAGATACAGGTGGTTCTTTTGCTATAAAGTATTAGTATATAGCTAGGTGTAGCCAAACAAGGCAATAAAGAGGGAGCCTGAGCCAAGTGGTTTCCTTGGCGTTTCTGTTTGGTTCTCCCAACCACGCTGAGAAATCGGATTGGTGGAAAGGTTTATGTGCTGAAGGGTTTTTTGTGGTTGCGTGACTTGAAAACTGCGTGCTAGTTCTCTGCCTACCGCATCACTGTTCCGAGGATTGCAGCTATTCAGATCTCCAAACAAAGAAAGCGTCCGTCGACGGCGGCTGAAACATGGCGTCCGTTTTGCCGTCTGTGTTTTCACCCCACGCCGGGTTAGACACGAGCAGGCTATTTGCTGGGCATCTATCCAAGCGGGATTCAGAACTTGGACCACTGGAGACTTGGCATGGCACGTTCGTGGATGTTTACCCTGCAAATTTGCGACTCACATGGACTAAGTAGACAATTACTATAGCGATGGCCTCCAACCTAAGAGCGATGGCCTCCAACCTAGTAGCTAACGTAAAATCTAAAACTCACAATTTTGGAAGAAGACTTTCCTTGACAATTGCCGGAGGTTTTCAGCGATGGAAACGGTGACCAGGGTGCTGTTTTTTTGTCCTGGGAGTCTGGGAGTCACGAGTTACACAAGATTCCAAGCTGTATTTGGAAAGAGGTTTGGATTTTGCCAAAGAGCTATATTGGCTACGGTAGTATGTAGGTGAATTTAGGGTTTGTCTCAGCCCCATGCATGGTCATTCAAGTTCACAACTTGTCACTACTGGGCGCCCCACTTCCAACTCTTGCATCCGGTCGCGCAGTGCAGCCTTCGTCCTCGAGGCTGGAAGCCTTCCTCCTGGGCGACCGGATCTTCGCATACCTCTTCGTCACGGACGTGCTGGTGCGCATCATCGCCACTTCGCCAGAGACGAGACGAGACCGGCCATCCGACGTCCGTCCACCCGCGGCGGTCCGGCGCGGGCGGTCCGGCGCGAGCAGAAAGGCATGAGGGGGAGCAGAAAAACGCGTCACGTGTAAAGTGGGGCGTGCCACATGTTAGATGTTTAGTAGTCTGGATCCTTGGGGTAGATTCATTCTTAAGTCATGTGATCGCATGCAGTGATCCGTGTTGGAGGAAGACATCCTGTACCTGAATTAGGATCAAGTGATAAAGTGCAGTCTTTTTTGTCGGGGTTGGGTGGCTCCAGGTCTTCCTTGGTGCGTTTATGTTTAATTATGTGGGCAGCTCGGACCCATGATGACCCATGCTACCTTTCTGAGTTGCATATGCGTCTTGCTGTCAGAACATGTCCTCAACTTTCAAGCCACCTGAAGTTAAAAAGAAGGTGTCGGGATGGACAAAGGAGTTGCACAACATGTTCACCGCTGGATGCAAAGTTAATGTTTGCAATTGAACATAATCCTGCACAACCTACTTAAGCTTTAGGATATGGCAGGCCAATGTGTACATACTTTCCTTCACTTCAGAAAATGTTGGCAGGGAATGTCTACATAAAAGCACGCAGCAGGCAACCTCCTGAAATGCCTCTAGGTTTTGACTATGGAAACAACATGAGACTTCAAGGACCAACCACCTAACATATTACGTGCCATGTATGCTATCACATGATGTCATTCCATGCTTTCATTTCCTTGGAACTGAGAAAGCAGTAAGCAGTGTCTTTGTTGCACAAAGTTACACCTACTTCAGCCAAGCGGTTACGGCGTCACACGGCCAAGGTGCTGAGGAGCAAGTTCTTCCGCATGTGCTTGAACTATGTGACCATGATTTAATCAGAACTCTTTGAGTGTTTGCCAACAAAATACGGGGTGCGTGCTTGCTTCGACCGGTTTTTCACTGTCGCGGAGTCCGTCGAGTGGTGCCACGGAGTGGTGACCTATCACCGAACATCGAATGGCACATGTCTGCGCAACTTGGTCAATCCTTCGCGGGCCGAAAAAACGGTTTTTGCCTGCCCAAGACGCTTTTCTAAATTCCTTCCAGTCATTTGCGAGGAGATTCCTTTGGATGTCAAAAGAGAAACTGCCCACACACTGCCATCGACATGTTTGGTCGGGAGGCATGCCAACATGAGTGTGACTCATGCTTGGTTCAGGCCAATGGTGTAAATATGTGTCAATATTGACAGGATAGGAACTTTTGACGATCATTGACCACGCTTGACTCATACCAGATACCTCTATATATCGGTGAGGATCCATTAAGGTCCCACCACGCTTGACTCTCACCACGCTGGGCTCGGCCTCAGCGCGATCCCATAGGAAACCCACCGATCCGGTCACCGCGATGAGGTGGATATTGCAGTCTCGATGACGGCCATGGCCGAGGTGATTTTAAGTGGCACCCTCTTGGTCCCTCGAAGAAATGCTTCACCGCAATGAACATGCTTCACCTTGATTGGTCAACCTTGGGGTGCTTTTTTGCAGGAGTGAGGCATGGTGAAGGGGAGATAGTTGACCAGCCATTCTGGTTCTTAATCTACCAGCAGCACGCTTCTTTGAGCGGATGTGGTAAAGTCTACTAAACACATCTAAACACTAAAGATAGCGAGATGGGAGGATCTAAGTATCCTGTGAAGGCCTACCAGCGAAGGGGATAGATGGAATCGTAATGTCACCGTGACCTAGCTCTTTCTCAGGAGTTCATCATACATCATCTGCTTAGCTAATCATTGGGCGACTGTCCTTTTTGAGGGAGGGTGTCACTCTGAATTTGGGATAGGCCACTGGGTCAGTAGCTGTGGTTTTCTTGGGTTGGAAGTTGGAACATGCTTTTTTTGTAACACCCCAAATGAGTGGTGCTTGGCTTACTTTCTTCCCTCTCCTTTTGCGGTTTTCACAAGACACAGGACAAATCCATGGAAAAAACAAAAAACATTTCAGAGCAAAGGATGCGCTGGTTTTGCTTCAGAGGTGCTCAATTACATTGACCCCGTGCGTACTTGCAAGCAGCCAAGAGGGAAGTCCAACCAATATAAGAGAATAGATTCAGTTGTTTGTTTCCTCTTCTAACAGCTGGTCCGGTTTTGCTTTCAACAGAGAGGCCCCGGCGGGGTCCTGATTATTTGTCGCCCCGGCCTTTTGTTTTCTGAGACACCTATTTTGTTGCCTTTTTATCATGTGTTTTTTCGGTCAGCATTTGATCTGAAATCATGGTCATGCTTCGGCTCCCTTGTCCCAGGTACAACAATGAACGAAGCCCCCCATTTTGCAGGGTTTGTTCCACCCTAACAGCATTACCTTGTTCAAGCAAACATAGGCAAAGTATGTTTGGAAATACGATGTGACGGTGCGCCTTTTCTCACGCCGTGGTTTTCCCAGATCTCTAGCCCTTGTCTCACAACAGGAGGCCCTCTCCCCAAGCCACCTCTTCGTGGTTTTTGGTAGTGCCAGCCAGCTCGATGAAATTTGCCACTACGTCTGCTCTCAGGGTGACCTCCCCGTGAACCCGCTTCTCTTTAAGCTGCTGCGGATTGGGAAGCTGGCACGCGCCATCCGAATGATTTCGATGATCCTGGGCCCCGATCGATCGTTTCTTTCGCCGGTGATGGCTCATTGACCTACGCCCATGAAAGCAGTATGTCCTCATGAAAGCAGTGCCGTAGAGATTCGCTGTTTTTTTAATCTGCCAAGTTCCACTTCCATGACTTGGAGACTTGGATGGTCATCATTGCCCTGGTATGACCCATGAGACAAACAATAAGACCCACGCTTGGTCTGAATGATTGTTCCTTTACCAAGATTCCCGGGGATCCTTTCGCCTTAGTAGGGAAGTAGGTTGGGAGGGCAATGGAAATTGCCACTGGTCATTGAAAGGCATGTACTATACCTCGCGGCAAAAGACCAGCACCGCCTGTACTCAAGCGAATTTGAAATGACATATGTAAGTATACTGTACTGTAGTAAATAAATTACTTTGCTTCGAGTGATCCCCACCATGGCATTTCAAAACAACCACGTTGACATCAACCTTGTTGTGTATTTCAGCCCATAGCACAAGTCCTTCAGCGCCAAGTCTTACTGTTTTGTCCGAAGCGAATGCTTTCATCAGCAGACCTGCGCCCAACTAATAATACAACTCAGAAAATTTCAGTAGTAGTCGTACTGGGTGGCCCAAGTAGTAGTATTACTATTTATTACTATTTGTTAGTAGTAGTGGTAGTGGTAGTGGTAGTGGCTGTGTGTTTGTGGTTGTGTGTTTGTGGTTGCGTTTGTGATTGCGTTTGTGGTTGTGCTTGTGGTTGCGTCTTTGTCGTTGAGGCTGTGGTTGTGTTTGTGGTTGCGTGCTTGTCATTGCGTGTTTGTGATTGTGGCTGTGGTTGTGTTTGTGGTTGTGCGTTTGTGATTGTGTTTGTGGTTGTGCGTTTGTGATTGTGTTTGTGGTTGTGTGTTTGTGGTTGTGTGTTTGTGGCTGTGTGTTTGTGGTTGTGTGTTTGTGGTTGTGTGTTTGTGGTTGTGT